TGAAAAACCCTGAACTCCGACACAAAGAAAGGCACTAATTAAACACTGCAACGCTTCTGTTCCAGCACGGAAAAGCAAGCGCTGTGCAAGTGAAACAGCGACCATCCCTCAGGTCCTCCGAGGGCTGTGAATACCCACCCAGGCACAAAGCTTCCTCTCTGCCCTCCCTGTTGCTGCCAGCCCCGAGAAGGATTCGCTGCAGACGGATGAACCGGAGCCACTTGACTTCCCCAGCACAGAACAGCCAAAGCTCACCGGGATGCTCTCAGAGAAAAGAGTTCCTTGACTTGCATAGGGAGTTATAATTCTCGTTTGTTTTGTTCATGGAGCCTTATGTGTCTTTCAATTTTTATTCCCTGCCGATCACTTCAAAAATCTAACTTCTCCTATGGTGGGGGACAGGAGAGGTAAGTTAGATGGTCCATGGTGCCTCACAAGCCACTCTTTGGAAATAACCCACTTCTAAATGAGATAGCAGCTGCTTCTCACAAAAAAAAAAAAAATCACTCCACAGTTCTCTCTTCCAGGCTAGCAAAGTTTCCAATGCTAGCCAAGGGCAGTCTGTGACCAGCAGGCATGGGAAACGGCTCTCTTTGGGATGACCTCAACAGCACCTGCAGCTACGCAGGCAACAGCTGCTACCTGGACAACAGCCTGAGGTTCAACTTAACCTTCCAAGAGCAGGCAGCTGATTTCTACGTTGTCCTCCCTGTGATTTACTCTGTGATCTGTACCGTGGGACTCACAGGCAACACTGCTGTCATCTACGTGATCCTCAAGGCCCCCAAGATGAAGACTGTGACAAACATGTTCATCCTGAATCTTGCTATAGCTGATGACTTGTTCACACTTGTCTTGCCCATTAATATTGCTGAACACCTCCTCCACTACTGGCCCTTTGGAGAAGTCCTCTGCAAGGTCATCTTGTCCATAGACCACTACAATATCTTCTCCAGCATTTATTTCTTAACAGTGATGAGCATAGACAGGTATCTGGTAGTACTAGCTACAGTCAGGTCCAAGAGGATGCCACATCGTACGTACAGAGCAGCCAGGATCGTCAGTTTGTGCATCTGGATCCTAGTCACCATCATAGTTCTCCCTTTCATTGTCTTTGCCAATGTCTACATAGATGACCTGGAGATTAAGAGCTGTGGTCTCAATTTCCCCAAGCCTGAAAGGTTTTGGTTCAAAGCCAGCAGGATCTACACTCTCATCCTTGGCTTTGCCATTCCAGTATCCACCATCTGCATCCTCTACACCATGATGCTCTACAAGCTAAGAAACATGCACTTGAACTCTAATGCTAAAGCCCTGGACAAAGCCAAGAAGAAAGTCACTATCATGGTCTTCATAGTCCTGGCTGTCTGTCTCTTCTGTTGGACCCCCTTCCACCTGGCCACCATTGTGGCTTTGACCACTGACTTGCCCCAGACCTCCATGGTCATTGGCATATCCTACTTCATCACCAGCCTAAGCTATGCCAATTCATGCTTGAATCCTTTCTTGTACGCTTTCCTGGACGACAGTTTTCGGAAAAGTTTCCGGAAGATGCTGGAATGCAGAACTTCTTGAACAGTGGGTTGGGCCTCACAGATCCCTTCCCTCCCACGGCTCTGCAGGGGCAACTTTGCAGACTGAAGGGGTGGCCAACGAGTGCACAATGTTCGTTCTTTCATTTACACGTAACGTATGTGTCTGTTTACCATTATCATTCACATGGTTTGTCTTGCTTACTTGCAACTCTTGCATTTTCCCTCAACTTCTCAAAGTTGCATTTCTGTGTTCTTATTTTTAATTACACACCCTGAAGCATTAAGGACAGAAAACTTGCTTTTCAGAGGTGTACTTCTACTACATAGTGGTCCTTTATTGCCATCTGCTGTACAGCACAGACAAGCTGGAGACCAGTTCTCAGATTAACATAACGCTCAGTTCTCAAGAGCTGTGTTATTTGGAGGATTGTTTCACGGAGTAGAACTAACGAGTACTTTCAATGAAATATCAATAAAATGGACAGAGGATGCAAGATGAGTATTTGAAAGAGAAAAACCATTTTCATGTCCATGTATGTGCATACGTGTGTTATGGCTTTGGGTCTGATATTGAGGGATGTCTATTTTCCACACCCTCTCAAAACTCTCTCTTTCCTGAACTGTTAACACAAGTTAAATTTAAACCAAAAGCAAGACCAGGGTCTCAAAAATAGTATTAAATAACATACCATACAAATACTATGGCAACTGTGGAAATTTGTGTTAGAAATTATTTTTAACTAAAAGTTCCTGTTAAGTGTCAGATATATATTTATTTAAGAGTGACTAACAAAATAAACCTCATGTGAAAAAGAAAGAGATTGGTCCTTCTTTCAGCAGAGGAAACTTATGCTACTTGTCCCATGTCTTTGCTATGTATATTGCATTTTACCTGCTGTAAAATAAAATATCGTAGAGTTGTAACAAAGTTAAGGTGTTTTGCAAGCCGCAAGAAAAACTCTAGCGAGTACTGCAAAGTTCCTTCTTTAACAAATAAAGAGTAGAAGTATTTCAACAGAATCAGGGCTTGAGAAGAAGAGTCTGGAGAGCAGAAACACCCTATGGAAAGCTTCAAGAACTACCAAACCCATGTTGAAACCCCCTCCTCCTTCTCCCCCATCGATGACAGTGGGATGAGCACACCCCATCTTCCAGCCGTCCCAGTCACGGAGAAGCCTCACCTCCACCACCCACCTAGAGAGGTGAGCAGGGCTCCTTGCCCCGTTCAGTCCTCAGTAGTGACGCACCACAGCCAGGAGAGCGCATGTGCCACAGCTCTGCTCTTTTTGGGTCTATAGTAGCCACCAAAGCACCTTGCTAAATGTAAGGAGACTTTTTTTTGGCCAAAGCAATGCCAAAGACTAACTCCGCTCATCACCTCTGCCAAACACAAACTGCCCCCAGCCCTTGTCCTAGAGGGTGATGCCCAGCTGCACACAGCAGTGAGCTCTCCCATAGGGCTGCAAAAACTTCTTCTCACACCTATTAGCCCTGCAGGGGATACATACATTACTGGTTTAAGGGAGGCTGTCTCAGCTAAAGTTTTTCTCTACAGCTTTCCCCAGATCCACAGGCACAAAACTAGGCTTTTACCTGTGCAAGCTCCACCAGCAAAGTGCAGGACACACAAAACAAAAAAAGATGGGGTATTGCACATACCAAAGCCCACCTAGGAGACATTACCTACAGCAGTCATCCAGAATTTATCAAGAAAACAGGGCTGAAGACAAGGCTGCAACATGAGTCCAAGGTCCATCCAGGAGGCTAGGGCTGGAAACAGAGATCCATCCAAGAGAGCAGGGCCAGGGGCTGCAGGGCTCAGCTTAAATGGGCTCCTGGAGCAATGGGCGAGGGTGTGGGTGGAGACCCCAGGTGAGGCCACTCACGGCAATTCAGTCCCACCAGCACCCTCAGAGCCCCAACACCAACATTAACAACCTTCAATAATACATCATGATGGCAATTTAATTTTTCCCTTTCCAAAAACTGAAATTTTGTGAATACAGCAAACTGTATTTGTGAATACAAGATCACCTGAATTGCCTTCTCCATATTAAAGGTGTGAACTTTGGAAGAACAAAGAAGGAGACCACATTCCTCCAGGTGAAACTTCCCCAGGAATTTTATTTTTTATACCAAATGTAACATTAATTTGCTGTAAAGATCAAGAGCTGAATCCCCAGTCTCAGCCAGCCTCATGAGGAACAGACCACAGTGGTGAATCCTTAATCTCACAATCTTAAACCCCCAGAATTAGTCCCCACAAGGTTCCCTGTGCCAAGTTTCACGGTTCATCTCTATTTCTCATTAGCTGCACCTTGCACCTATCAGCAAACACAAGGATTTTTCAAAACCTGGTCCTGACAGTGTGTGGGTGTGTGGGGTGATGCTTAGCAAGCCCCAGTCACAAGAGAAGGAAGAGGGAGATGCCTGGAGAAGAGACCAGCTCCACTTAGAAGGTGCTGGTGGCTCTCAAGAGGCATCAAATGACTCAAAGAAGGAGTCAGGAGACGAGGAGGAAGACCTGGCAGATGGAGGATTGGGGACCACACAAGTGGCCAATTCTGGAAGGAAAGCTGGGTGCTGTGGTCCTGACCGACCTTACGGGGAAGGAGGCAGGTGCCAGGAGCAGATGAGGGAGTGCAGAGGTGTTGGGTGACCCCTCGGAGCAGCCCAGGCAAGGCCAGGGGACAGAGCCAGCCCGCACAGGTGGGCATCCCGGGCACCCACCGCTTTAGCACGGTTGCCGTGTGCTGGCAATGGGCTCCCCAGGTGGAAAAAAACCTCTCTGAGTGCAGAAAACTGACTCAAATGATGCCACCTCGCACACAAATTGCCCAGGGAGCTGCAACACCGCTGTTCCTTGGCGTTGGGTCTGTAGGAAAGGCAATATATTTTATTAGGTGGAAAACCCAATATATTTCATTAGATGGAATGGATCTTTGGCCACTTGCAGAGCTGACGGTTTCATTGCTGGAGCTTTTCCCATTTGAATCAAATGTCACGACTGTCACAGAATCCCAGAGTGGCTGAGGTTGCAGGCACCTCTGGAGACCGCCCAGTCCGACCCCCTGCTCAAGCAGGGTCACCTAGAGCAGATTGCCCAGGACCATGCCCACCTGGGTTTGAATGCCTCCAAGGACGGAGATGCCACAACTTCTCTGGGCAACCTGTTCCTGTACTTCACTGCTCTCACAGTTAAAGTTTTTTTCCTATGTTTAAGTGGAATTTCCTGTATTTTAGTCTGTGCCTCCTGTCCTGCCGCTGGACATCACTGAGAAGAGTCTGGATCCCTCTGCTCTGCACCCTCCATCAGACATTTACAGACATTGCTTATATCCCCCCCGAGCCCTCTCTCCCCAAGGATAAACAGCTCCATCTCTCAGCATCTCCTCTTAGGACAGCATCCTGCCTGCATCTGTGCTTTTCTCTATGTAAAATGTTTAAGACGGGAGTGTCAGCTCCTCTTTGCTCTTGTGGGGTGCAAGGCTACAAGGGGAGAAGGGGTTTGCATTGGCCAAGGTCTCCTCCCGTGTTTCGGATGGCCTTTGGCTCCCATCGGTGCCCCGAGCTGGCCGTGCGCCGCCCAGCCGAGTGTCCGGCGGGGCCCTGTGTTTCAGCCCGGCAGCACTAAGCAGCACTCTCTGCTTTCAGCTCAGCATCGCTGCATCTTCCGCAGCGCTGCTCAGCCTCACACACAGGCTGGGACCATGTTTCTGCAGAGAAGCCTGCAAACCGGGGCTGTCCATGCCCTGGCAAACCCTCTGAGCATGGCACCCGAGGCCAGGCTGCTTCTGGGAGAGCAGAAATGACCTTGGAGGAGACACTTGCCCACTCGTTGCACAAGCGAAAACCTGCACACCAGCTCAGCCGTTTTTGAATTTCAGCAGGCTGCTGAGGCTGGCTTGCTGCAGATCACACCAGCCCACATTAGCTGCATCTTGAAGACTGGAAACAGGGAAATAAATACCCTTAACAATTCACCAAATAAATCCCCTTCTAAACCAAGCATCCCTTCCAGGGTTTGCAGGGTTGCAGGAGGCTGAATCAGGGACACGCACGGCTCCCTCCCACCCAAACCCCCTTCCCGGCCAGCCATCCATCAAGCAGGGAAGCAAGCTCAGCCCCAAAGTCAGGGAAATTTCCTTCCAGAACAGTCCAGGATGTCTTAATGAGTGCAAAGGTGCCGGGCAACCTCACAGCTCCCTGGTTACAGCAGGAGCTGAAGGCTTTCCGCTTGCTCCTGCCCACTGCAGCAGCAGGGAGGAAGGCAGCAGGCTCCTGCCTGACTCCTCTCTGGGAAGGACATCGCCTTCCCTGCTCCGGCTGCACCCACCAGGACACACAGCCCCGGGGGGCTCTGCTTCATCATCCCTGGGAGAGGGAGAAGAAGCCCTTTTCCACCCCAGAAACAGGAATTGGGGCTCATACACGGCTCATCTTCCCACTGCAGGCTTTAAATGCAGACATCTGAGATAAGAGGTGGGGATCGGAAATTACTATTGCTTTTTAAGTCTTCGTGCTGCAGCAAGTAATAATGGCTGTCTCAATCAATTGTCCTCATCGGAGCTGTGCTGCAGCTTGTTCCCCCGCGAAGCCGTAATCCCCTGGTACTTACACAGTCTCGCACTGTCTCCTGCCACTGGTCACGATTTCGGGTGAGAAAAGAAATAATACCCCACTGAGGGATGAAGGCCTGGCTCTCAGAAGCATCTTTAGATGGGGAAAAAAGAGAGATTAAAAATGGATGAGCAAAATCTTGGAATATAGAAGATATGAAGGAGAAGGATCTCTAGAGGATACTGTTAAAAGCGATCCAAGAAAGAGAATTTGTCCCTTTTCTGTGGGGCCGGACTTTCTGTAGCACTCGCCTTGTCCCCTGCGGGATGCTGGGAGCCCCTGGGGGCCATCTCGATCAGGGACGACCAGTGCTAACGTGCCACTGATGCTCCCACTGCAGACCTGAGGAAACGATGACCCTCCAGCTCTACTGCCAGTTCTGGGAGAAACGAACCCGGTTTGGTGCCTTCAGAGGGTCTC